CATCCTGGCAATTGTACTTGGGAAGAGTTTCTGGTAAATGAGCTCACAGAGACAGATACTTTTAATTTCCAAGAGCATGGAGCTAGAACTTGTAGTTTGTTGAAGGATACTCCATGCTTAGTTCAGCATAAGCACTTCCCACCTGATCCACAGAAGCTTTGACACAATCCTGGTAAATGAAGCTGAAGAGAAAAGGATTTATCTGCTTTACACACTTTGATTAGACTGGGAAATTATTAAGGTTTGCTGATCCGCTGTTGAGCAGCTGCTCTAGAAAGTACAAGTAAGGTTTTGTCTAAAAATTTGTTGGGCTGCTTCAATCTGCCCTTCGCCAAAACTCCTAGATAAACATCAATTAACAACAACAATGTATATTTACATTTAAAAGTATTAGGTTATTTCTTTGATTGAGAATATTTCTTTAAATTCCTTAACAGCCTAATTTTGGATTTGTCTTAAATTTTGCTTCTCAAGTGACTCTTCCACTAATCAGGTTTAATGACATTTCAGTACCCATCAGACATTGATCTGCATAACCTTTCCTGACAATATACTGGATTCAGTTGTAGTCACTGTACAAATGTTTAACATTAATCAATGTTATTGTACTTGGAGTATGAGTAACCTTTTATTAAGTTGACTCAAGGCTCACTGTAGATCTTATTTCTAATAAGATTTTCATAATATTAAATTTTTCCAGGTTAAGCTGATGTGCATTCAGCCTCTTTCTTCAAATGTTTTATTTGTTTTCTCATATAGCTGATGAGTAGTCCTCAAAGGAATACAAAACCCCTTTCTTGCAAATGAAGACAGTTACTTGAAAGACAAAAGGTTATATTTAGATTGCAGGCTGAAGACTAGATTGAGTACACACAATAGCTTTAAGTATTGGTTTGGGAGCTAAAATGAGTCTATCAGCAACACTGCCCTTTATTTGAGTTAATTTAACCAGCAGAGCTGAGGCCACTTCAGCTCAATCCCTACAGGGAGGACTTTCCTGAGACACTCAGGTATTTGGTGTGTTCAGCACACAGGAGAGATTTGTCATACAGATATCAGAATTGGCAGTGGGATAACAGCGATGCCTTCTTAATGATTCTAAAACACACAATGTTCTATCCACTGCTTGAAGTCAAAGGTAAAACTGGTTCTAAATTTAGCTGTATTTAGAGCAATTTAATTAAGATTCTCATCTTGTTCCTAATTAAGAAGCCCGTGAATTTTCTATTTGAGAATGAAGCCTTTTGAAATACCAATGAAAAAATACAATAGGGAGGGTACTTTTAAATAATGTTTTAAGTAAATAATGCATTGGGGGCTTTACTGCTATCTTTTTCCCAATTTTGCTCTTTTAACAATGATTTGAGAAAATATTTTCAGCTTTTTCTATTGAAAAAAATACTGATGCAGTAAAGACTAAATGTGATGTAATAAACTATCTCAATAAGCTGACACTGTTTTTCCATGTTTTCTTTTCTCATATTTTACCTTTTTTTACCAACAGAATCAACTGTTGGAATGGTTGGTAACTTCATGTCTTCTGAAGATGAAATACTGGTTTATTACACATTTCAACAGTATGGAAATCGAATGCCTGGTAATATTTACATCATTAATGACAGAACAGAACTGATGACAAGGTAGATGGTTAATTCATTAAGAACAAATGTCAACTGAATTTCATTGTAGGCCTCAAGGTTTTTGCCCGTGTTCTATTCTGACCTCAGAAAGCCTGTAAAACATTATGTCTATAATCCCACTTTGTAAATAACACTAACAAATACTGTCTAGTTTGATTCCAAAGTAGAGTTAAGCCACTTGATGCTATGGTTGAACAGAAATGTACGGCCTACTGTGTTTAGCCAGAGTAAAAAGAGAATCTATTGACAAATACCCTTGAGTGCAACTGTTTCAGCTCCGTAGAATTAGAAACAAGGCTTCTTTCAAATAATTTTCCTTTGAGAGTTCTGTATCTATTACTCTCACTGTATTAATTTTGCCTATTTTATATCAGAATTAATTTGCTATTGTAAGTATTTTTGAAGTACAAACATTCTGTAGACAAGCCAGCCTTCCATTAACAGAAGGGGAAAAAACCCAAATGAGTGAGATCAATCAATAATTTAATTACTGTTGCCATTTAATCAGCTGAGATAGCAAACTACAGTAGACTCATTTTGGCATTTTTAAAATCTACTGTATTGATAGTCAAAAGGAAGAAAGCAATAAATCTGAATTTTTAAATGGGATAGTAGAGTCAAGCTATTATTGATGATTCCTTAAGAATCACTCTTGACTTATATTATTGCAAGAACTTATTTTTTCTTTTGGAAGCATAATAAATACAGCTAAATATAGATTTTTTTTCTTTTACACCAGTAGACAATTATCAGACAGTACATACAAGCCTAAAACAAACAGGAAAGCAGGCACAGAACAGTGATCAAGAGTATAGAAGAAGGAAGAGATGCACTATGATACAAATAGGTAATACAATCAAGGTTAATACCAACAAATTTATGGATATTTAATTGGTATTTTTATGACATTTTCATTATTAGAAAATGTCAGGGGAACTCTAGTATCATAAATCCCTGATTGAGGAGCTTATGGGGTTACACTTGGGATTTTTGCTCCTCCTCAGTGGAAGGCCAGGCTTGTTTGCTCCATGCTGGGCAGGAGCTGACAGATGGTTCATAAAGAGCAATTTCTAGAGGGTATAGATTAGAGGATTAGGGCCTAAGCAACCTGCTGGAGGAAAAAAGAATCTGGAAGGGCACCAAGATGTGCACCAATGTGAATACCAGCTGCAGTTACAGCAGCTTTTTAAACAATTGTTTTCACTAAAAATCATTTCAGGATACACATTTGGTGTCGTTTCTAATTACTCACCATGAAGTACAAGACACATTGTGGCAAAGGTCAAGCAAAAGACACTCAGAGCATGAAAAATACTGTAGCTAGCATGGAAACAAAGCAGAATGAAGAAACAGAAGCAGACAGCATAGAGCTTTACTTCTAGACAAAAAAGTCCTGTATAGGCAGGGAAGTATGTACTGAGAGCTGCCTAAGGGAATAAAGATGGAAAAAAAAAATGAGGACAAAGCTGTTGGTACTGTCTTACTGGAGAAAAAAAAGCAAAGTGATACCACCTCCAGGAATAATGCCTGAAGCACTGGCAAACGCATACATGTCTGATGAATACTAAAGCCCAGAAATACTGAGCTTGTAAAGAAATAAAAACCAGAAGTAGAAGGAGAATTAGATCCATTAGAAAATACACTCAAACAGGCTAAGGAAATTCAGAAGGCAAACAAGAGACAGACCTAAGAAGGTGATGCACTGTATTACACAGAATATTAATCAGAGGGAATAGTGGCCATTCTTTTGGAATATTCCAAAGAGCCTGTGCAACTGAGCTTGCCTCAATGCAGAGCTGCCTGTGCCCTGGGATGGAAAGGCAGCAACACAACCTCAAAGAAAGAGCAGCCCTGCAGTGTGGCGGTGGCTGATCCAAACACTGCTCACACACTGCAGGTGACACCAGGGGACACAAGAACTGTGAGTCTGCAGCCATGCTTTTGCATCAGGAGCCACCTGAACCTTCCTGGTAATCACCAACTGGCAAACCCAACTACATGTAACCATGAGAAATGCAAGTGATCTTTCATGTAAGGAAAATTTACTATGGTTCTTAACCTGTGAGAAATATCATTCCAATGCCACATAACGGTTTTTTCCCACTTTTTATTTTCTTAAGTAGTAAATAATACACAGTGACCTTTAAAGAATGCTATTAAAACTATAAAGTCTGTCATTCCAGAGAATGAAAAAGTTACAGTCACCTCTGATACAAATTTCAGGAGGTTCAGGAGTTTGTTTAGCAAACAGGATGATTTTAAATTTTATTCATAGAAAAGACGTTCATTACTTCTCATGTCAGGAATGTTTCTTGGTAAGCCAAAATCACCTTTTGGCCATATTTGACATAACTTTTCACACGGTACAAACATCAGGACCTATGTCTGGTTCAAAGATGCATCATCAGGATACAGCTGCTGACATTATTTCTATGTGAAAAGTAACATGTTACAAAAGGATGAATATTTGTAATAAATGCAAAGAGCAAGGAAGTCAGCTTAACTGAAAGAAGTTCAGTCACAGGCTCAGACCTTCTGTCACATGTTTTCTGGTCAATTCCACATGGGAGCAGAAAGGTAATGAGGTGCTGAGTCAAGACACATGAAATCAACTCATCAGACCAAACTGCATGAATACATGCCTATCCTATAGAATTACTGACAGATCTTGAGCACATCTAAGAATGATCAAGAGACCTAAGTGGAAGCATCTGAAAGGGCAAGAAAAAAGCTTCATTTAGCTTTCTGGAAGAAGAACATAAACAGTGCAGCTTACAAGTAGGCACCAAGAGATATTGACAATTATAGCACTTCTCAGTAGGTTCACAATAGGCTCACACAGGAGAAGGGTTCAGGCACAACAGGAGCTGGTGGCTGTGGTATTCTGAAGGAAGTAAGTACCATCTAATAACAGGTGATTATTTTTGTCAAGGAAATCAGTGATGCTTTAAAACAGCAAACGTGATGCTATTGGAATTCCAACATCAATACATGGAAAGGTGCTCCTGTCTGAGAAAGTCATTACTGGTGACAAGTACATGGAGCAGGAAATAGCTTCCACGGTTCAGGGCAGATTCTGCATCTTCACTAATGGAAGACATCAGGCAATTGAACAAAACAGCGACAAGATGAGATAGTGGAAATAAAAGAATCATACCAAGAGGTTCAATACATTAAAATAAAAATTTGATGATGCTATCAGCTCTGAGGGATGTATGCACTACAGGCAAAGCTATAGCAAGGCTTCATGAGAAAAAAAAAAAATCTACCTTTAGATCCCACTCCCTCCCTTGCCAAAGTGGTCCCTCTCCCGAGCCGTCCCCTCCACTCTCCAAGGCTGCCCTGTGGTCACCAAGGCTGATGACACTCTCGGCACACAGCTCGCCATGCCCTGCTCTCTTAGAGCCCAGGATTTCACGGGACTCTTGGAAGGCGGCTGAGAGGAAGGGCTGCCTTCATACCCGCAGGAGCCAGCCGAGCCAAAGGCGAGATGTCCGGCCGCTGTTTCTAGCACCAGCTCACGACGGAGCCGCGGGGAGCCCGCGTGCCCACAGCGGCGGCCACACCGGCTGCCACCGCCGCCTCTGCTCTGCCGACCGGGCTGGGCAGAGCGGGGACGCCGAGAGAGCCCGACCGCGGCCCGGCGCGCTCACAGCAGGGCCGGCCCGGCGGTACCGGGCAGGGCGCGG